AAAAAAAAAAAAAAAAAAAAGAAGCTACAATAATATAATAGACAATTCTAAAGGAATAGTGAGGAATACAATTCAAGAGTAATTTAAAAGTTAAATGTAATATATAGAACCAAAAAAGGAGTTAAGGGGCTAAGTGCCAATGAAAAGTATAAAGAAACAAAATCTAATAGACCTTATTATACAGAATTAGAAAATCTCTGTGCATTGGCTGGGCGCGGTGGCTCACACCTGTAATCCCAGCACTTTGGGAGGCTGAGGAGGGCAGATCACGAGGTCAGGAGATCGAGACCATCCTGGCTAACATGGTGAAACTCCATCTCTACTAAAAAAAATACAAACAAAATTAGCCAGGCATGGTGGTGGGTGCCTGTAGTCCCAGCTACTTGGGAGGCTGAGGCAGGAGAATGGCGTGAATCCAAGAAGCTGAGCCTGAAGTGAGCCGAGATCGCACCACTGCACTCCAGCCTGGGCAACTGAGCAAGACTCCGTCTCATAAAAAGAAAAAAAAAAAAAGAAAAGAAAAGAAAAAGAAAACCTCTGTGCTTAAAAATGTTATAACAAAGACAGAAAATGTAGATGCCAAGGGGATATGTGTGTGTGTGTGTGTGTGTGTGTGTGTGTGTGTGTGTCTGTGCTTATGTGTCTATTTATGTGTGTATGTGTGTGTTTATGTGTCTGTGTGTCTGTGTGTGTGTGTATGTGTGTGGGTGTGAAATAAACCAGAGAACAGTGGACAAAAGACAGGAACAGACCACACATATGAAGAGAAAAACAAACGGCCAACAAGCAGGGACAAATAATAGTCTTAAAGCCTCAAAATGGCAAATATAAAAATCAAGGCAGGAACGACCCCATGCTGGCCAGGGAGTGGTGACAGTGGCATGTCAGAGCTGCTGGGAACAGCTCACAGCAGGCCCACCAGGTCAGATTCCACCCAGGAACAGCGATGAGCTTGTGTTCATAACCTTCACCAGGTAACCGCATTTCTCAGAACATACTCAGAGGAAATTATCAAAGATGGGCACAGAGGCCTACGTTAAATAATTATTTATAGGCAACATCTTGATGTTCAATAGTAAGGGAATAGATAAATTAAGATACAACTGTAACATAGAAAATGATGTGGCCAATTATGCCTGAAAATATTTTATAACATGGAAAATACTTATCATAAAATGTTAAATGGAAAAGGATAAAAATAATACGTAGAATATGAATCTAATTTTCCTTTTTTTTTTTCTTTCTGAGATGGAGTTTTGCTCTTGTTTGTCGCCCAGGCTGGAGTGCAGTGGCACAATCTGGGCTCACTGCAACCTCCACCTCCCGCGTTCAAGCGATTCTCCTGCCTGAGGCTCCCGAGTAGCTGGGATTACAGGCGCCTGCCACCACGCCCGGCTAATTTTGTATTTTTAGTAGAGACAGGGTTTCACCATGTTGGCCAGGCTGTTCTCGAACTCCTGACCTCAGGTGATCCGCCCACCTCAGCTTCCCAAAGTGCTGGGATTACAGGCAAGAGCCACCGCACCCAGCCTAATTTTCTTTTAAATGAAAAACGATATGTATACATGCATAGAAAACAACTGGAAGACAATGTATCTAAATTTTAATAGTACTTATCTCCAGGTAATGATCCATGAACTGATTCTGAAGGCCTTTGTTTTGAGACAGGGTTTTGCTCTATCACCCAGGCTGGAGTGCAGTGGTGCCATTATGACTCACTACAGCCTTGACCTCCTGGCTTCAAGCGATCCTCCCACCATAGCCTCCAGAGTAGCTGCGACTATAGGCACGCACCACCATGCCCAGCTAATTTTTTTTGTATTTTTTGTAGAGATGGGATCTCCCTATGTTGCCCAGGCTGGTCTTGAACTCCTGGGCTCAAGCAATCTTGCGCTGGCCTCTCAAAGTACAGGCATGGGCCACTGAGCTGGAACCTGAGGGTCATTTTTATTATGATTTTGTGATTTGAAAAAATTTTTTCCAATATACATATAAAATTCATAATCAGGGAAAAGTTTTTACATACATAAAAGAAAAACACCAAGACTCCAATATAAAGAGGGACAAAGGGCATATTCAAATATTTTTCAAAAAGAAAGATCAATAGGCTGGGTGCAGTGGCTCATGCCTGTAACCCCAACACTTTGAGAGGCTGAGGTGGGAGGATCGCTTGAGACCAGGAGTTCAATACCAGCCTGAGCAACACAGTGAGATCCCTCTGTTCCCCCAAAAATTTAGCTGGGCGTGGTGGTGCACACCTGCAGTCCCAAAGTCCCAACCATTCAGGAGGCTGAGGTGGGAGGATCACCTGAGCCAGGGAGGTTGGGGTTTCAGTGAGCTGTGATCACACCACTGCACCATGGAAATAACTTCAACATCCAACAAAAGAGTATCTAAGAGACCAGAGAGAACACTGTGCCTCTGTTTAGAAGTATAACAAGGAGAGTTTAGATGCTTGAAAAAAAAAAATTTGCTACAAAGCTAAATGGGGAAACAAGATAAAAACTATAGATATGCTATGTTTAAAATAATGCAAAGTTCTATATGAGCAAAGCAGAGGGTAATGTATCAAAGTGCAAAATGCAGTTTTATTAAGAATTATGGGGATTTTATTTTTCATAAGTCCACATTTTCTGAACTGTGGTTATTTTGCCAGCATAATTTAAAAAGCATACTGAAAGAATTTCATAAATGATAGCACTCCCTACAAACGTAAAGTATTATCACCAAGAGGGCAGCTTATTCTTGCTTAGGACTGAGTAGAAATAACATTCATTCAAGATTAACTCTGTCTTCCTATCTCTGAAGAGTGTCGGGACAGGGGACAGGGAGAGCCACCTTTTCCAGGGTTTGTACAACACCTCCATGTGGGACCACCATGGAGCCCGTCTCCCTGGGCTTCAGCTCCCTGCCTCCAGTGGATGCTGGGAGGGGCTTCTTCTGTGACCTGGGCTGGTGACTGGTGCTACATAGTGAGAAGCCCTGCAGGGCAGCCTCACCAGCCCAGGGTGGCCTTGCCCAGCCCCAATCAGTGAAGGGGAGCCTCCAGACACATCTATCTTGATGTCGTGCCCATCTTCCCTGGATGCACTGGGCACTGCCTGGGAGTTCCCAATTTCTCACCAGGGGCTAAATGGCAAGAGGTGATGTTGGCATGTTAGGATCTGGCTACAACGCTGCTGGGCCATGCTGTGACAGCTGTGGGAACACCCCTGACTGCACTGTCACTAACACACAGCTCTGCAGTAGAGCTATTTACATGAGGTAAGTCCAGGAAATTCACTTTTTCCAAATGCCCACCGCCCAAGATTATTCTCCTCTCTAGCAATATAATAATGTTCACTGGAAAGTAATGCTATTCATAATTCTTGTTTTATTATTATTCTGAAAATAATAGTTTATGGAGGAAACTCCTGATGGAAGCCATGTCAGGAGTCCGTCCAAGGATACAACAGTTGATATACCTCCTTTTTATTTCACACAGGGTCTTGCTTTGCCACCCAGGCTGCAGTGCAGTGCTGTGAATCATGACTCACTGCAGCCTTGACCTCCCAGGCTCAAATCCTCCTCCCACCTCAGCCTCCTGAGTAGCTGGGACCACAGGGACATGCCACCACATCTGGCTAATTTTTGCATTTTTTTTGTAGAGATGAGGTCTCACCATGTTGTCCAGGCTGGTCCTAGACTCCTGGGCTCAAGCGATCCCTTTGCCTTGGCCTCCCAAAGTGTTGAGATTACAGGTGTGAGCCATGGCACCCAACAATATCCCTTCTTTTTATTGGCAAGAAAAGATCTTTCCCCTTGTCAACAACTTCCAGGTTCATCAAGGAAAACAGGTGACGGGACTACCTCAAATGGCTCTCAACTTTCCTCCTGGAGTGTGGCCCTTCTGGGGAGGTGACTGACTTTAACTAAAAGAGGCACCCTGGCATGCAGACCTGATTGGGGTGATAAGGCAAGGCTCCCACACCTGGAGGAAGGTGGTCTGGATCTAGGAGCCAGGGAGGATCAGGTGCTTTCCTCGTTGAGTAGCTCAGAAGGCGGCTACTGACACCAAAGCACATCATGTTAGTTTCGAGGTTTGCTTCCCAGGGAGAAATTCCTGCCAGCTCGGGGCGGAACGACGCACAAGAGCTTTGCCACATCCAGTGCGTCGATGGGGTCCACGTCCCTCAGCCCAGCATCCCCTGCACCCAGCAGGCTGCCAGGCACGTAGTATGTGCTGAGCAAGTGTTTGTTGAACTGGATGGCCAACGGCTTCCCCTGGCTGTGCAGCCTCTGGTGCTCAGTGAGGTGCGAGCTCCAGTTGAACATCTCCCCACATTGCTCACACTTAAACGACTTCTCCCCGGAGTGGATTTTCTGATGTTTAATGAGACAGTGGTTCTGACTGAAGGCTCTGCCACACTCGCCGCACTTGTAGGGCTTCTCACCAGTGTGGATGCGCTGGTGCACGATGAGGGACGAGTGGCAGCTGAAGGCCTTCCAACACTGGCTGCAGTCGAAGGGCTTCTCGCCTGTGTGGATGCGCCGGTGCACGATGAGGTAGGCGTGGGAGCTGAAGGCTTTGCCGCACTCGTTGCACTTGAAGGGCTTCTCGCCGCTGTGGATGCGCCTGTGCACGAGCAGGTACGCGTGGCAGCTGAAGCCCTTTCCGCAGTCGGCGCACTTGAAGGGCTTCTCGCCCGTGTGCGTCCTCTGGTGGAGGGTGAGGCGCGAGCGGCTGTTGAAGGCCTTCTCGCAGTCGCTGCACTTGAAAGGCTTGTCCCCACTGTGGATCTTCTCGTGCACGGTGAGGGACGAGTGGCAGGTGAAGGCCTTGCCGCAGGAGCCGCACTGGTAGGGCTTCTCGCCCGTGTGTATGCGGTGGTGGCGTGTGAGGTGCGTCCGCTGGTTGAAGGCCTTGCCGCACTCGCCGCACCGGTAGGGCTTCTCGCCGGTGTGCACCCGCAGGTGCATGCTGAGCAGCGAGCTGCAGCTGAAGGCCTTCTCGCAGGCGCTGCACTTGTAGGGCCGCTCGCCCGTGTGGATGCGCTGATGCACGTTGAGGGACGAGTGGCAGCTGAAGGCCTTCCCGCACTCGCCGCAGAAGAAGGGCTTCTCGCCCGTGTGGATGCGCCGGTGCTCCAGGAGGTTAGTGCTCCAGGTGAAGGCCTTGCCGCACTCATCGCACTTGTAAGCCTTCTCCCGGCTGTGCCAGCGCCGGTGCAGCGTGAGGGAGGAGCTCTGGCGGAACGCCTTCCCGCATTCGCCGCACACGAACTCGCCCTCCCCGGCGCCCGCCCCGCGATGCCGGCGCGCCTGGGGGAACTTGTGCGGCTCACTCGGCGTAGGGGCGTTTTCTCCCGCACACAGTCTAGCAGGAGCCTTGGTTCTGCCCTCAGTAGCCTGGACGTTCTTGCGTGTGTCCAGCAAGCGTCCCCCCTCGGGAACGCGTTGCTGGGCGAAGAGGGGACACCTAAGGGGGAATTTCTCTACAGGGACGTCCCAGACGATAGCATGTGCAGGCGCCCAGGGCGCAGCCTGACTCCTCCGCAGAGCACCGGCCTGGCGCCCCCACGCCTGCGCCCCGCCCAGGGGCCGCTCCGTGATGGGCTCCTGGGCGGGTTCTTCTTTGCAAATACCCTGCTGTTGAGAGGGCACCGCCTTCAGCTGCCATTCTGTAAGATATTGAAAGTGATTTTCTGTGAGCAAGCGGAAACCTGGCCTAGAATTCAGATTTGAGAACTGACCTGGAGATGCAGATAAGCCCAGAAAAGAGAGGAGAGGACACCAGGGCCAAGGCTGGAAGGCGCAGGCAGAGAGAAGGGAGAGCCCAGGATGAGATGTGCAAGCAAGAGCGGGAAGAAGGCAGAGGAAGAAAACGCAAGGAGCTACCAGAGAGCAAAGACTGGGAAAGGTGGAGAGGCCAAGGGAATCCCCGGAGGAGCAGCTACAAGCACCAAGGGGGCTGAGAAAGGGGCAAGCTGGGGAGCTGGTGATCAGGATTACACTCATTCACAGACACATCGGCTGACCGACTGCTGTGTCAATACCATGGCAGATGATCGTAATACACAGGGCAAATACAAGTTTTTTGTGTGTTTGTATTTTTTGAGACGGAGTCTCGCTGTTGCCCAGGCTGGAGTGCAGTGGCGTGATCTCGGCTCACTGCAAGCTCCGCCTCCCTGGTTCATGCCATTCTCCGGCCTCAGCCTCCCGAGTAGCTGGGACTAATAAATGAATTAAAAATTGTCTGTGGTGCCAAAAGGAAAAAAGGGCCTCCCACACCCCAGCGCTTCCCTTTAGAACACTGGGAACTGCAAACGCTTTCTCTGTTTGAGACGCATGCAAACCTCTTCAGAAGCGAAATGACCCTAGTCCAAGAGTCCAGTCCAAGATGTAACTTCCTGCTTGTCAAAAAGGTACAAGAGGCTGGGTGCGGTGGTTCTTGCCTGTAATCCCAGCACTTTGGGAGGTCAAAGTGGGCGGGTCACTTGAGCCCAGATCAAGACCAGCCTGGGCAACACAGACCCCACTACAAAAAATACAAAATTAACCAGGAATGATGGCACATGTCTGTAGTCCCAGCTACTCAGGAGGCTGGGGTGGGAGGATCACCTGAGCCTGGGGAGATTGAGGATGCGAGCTATGATCACGCAACTGCACCCCAGCCTGGGCAATAGAGACCCTATCTCAAAATAAATAAATAAATAAATAATAAAAACCCAAAAAGCTGTACTCTTCCTTTAGGTGAAGACAGTTGCCCTGTGTGCTGGGTTGGATCTGTCTCCTCTGTCAAAGGGGGATGTTTCTTTCTGTCCTGCACACCACATCTGGTTAACCACTTATTCGATAAGAAGGCTTGCTTTCTTTTCTATCTCTATAGCAAGGTTTTCTGAGCTGGCAGGAGATTTTATTTCTAATTCTGTCCTCCCCAGGCTTAAAAAGGGGCATCTAGTGCAGTGGGCAGAGCTGCACGGTGGTGCTGCCCGTGGCCTCAACCCATCCAGAAGGGCAGGGCAAGTGGAACTGGCCATGGCACACATGGCAGGTAGCCAGGTGGAGAGCGAACAGCATGTGCAGAGGCTCAGAGGTGAGACAGTAAGATGAAGACAAGATACGCAGAGGCAGGAAGGCTGAGAGGTGACCCTGGCAAGGTGGATGGGTTTGAGGTGACCAGATGCCTGACTCAGAGGGCAGTCGGGGAAGAAAGGCCTTTTGCACAGAGGGTGACCCTTGATCATGTGGTATCTTGGTGGGGGGCGGGGAGCAGGGGAAGCAGGGGGCGGGGACAGAGTCTCGCTCTGTTGTCCAGGCTGCAGTGCAGGGGTACAATCACGGCTCAATGCAGCCTCCAGCTCCTGGGCTCAAGTGATCCTCCCGCCTTGGCCTCCCAAAGCGCTGGGATTAGATGTGTGAGCCCCTGTGCCTGGTATAATGGTTTGTCTTGAAGGTGGCTTTGGTGGTGTGTAAGGAGGTGGGAGCGAGCAGTTAGGGAGGCCAGTTAGGGAGGCCATCTGAATAATTCAGGTGAAAAATGGCAACTTCAGACTGGTACCAAGGCTGTGAAAATGAACAGGAAGCAGCCGATCTGAGAGCCATCGAGGAGCTAAAACCGATGGCTCTAGCTGTTGACTGAAGGTGGCAAGAGAGGAAATAGGGGAGAGGATGAGACCTCAGCAAACACCCAAGCCAAGGATGGACGGTGGAAGCTTTTGCAAAGACAGGGACGGGAGGAGGAAGGTCCAGTTCCAAGTCTGGTCTTAGACATGCAGGCAGAGGCCTACGAGGTGGTCAGTGACACAGGGCTGCAGCTCAGCTGGTGTTGCTATAGTGTAGACCACGCTCACACCAAGTGAGAGGTGAGTCTAGGGAAGGTGCACAGAGCAGAGAGAAGAGGCCCAGGCCAGAAAAAAGTCGTTTTGGCAGCAATAGGGCCAACAACACAGCAGGGCACATACATCTAAGGGATAACGTACAATCAGTAAACATCACGTGAGGATGCTCACTATGCCATGGCCAGTGTGGTAGCCAGACTCCGGTGTGCGTGCTGTGCTTCCAAGGATGCGTAAGGCTTTATTTATTTATTTTTTTGAGAGGGGGTTTAGCTCTGTCTCCCAGGCTGGAGTGCAATGGTGCGGTCATGGCTCACTGCAACCTCTGCCTCCCAGGTTCAAGCGATTCTCCTGCCAAAGCCTCCAGAGTAGCTGGGATTATAGGCGCCCACCACCACGCCCAGCTAATTTTTGTTTTTTTTTTTTTTTTTTTGAGATGGAGTTTCACTCTTGTTATCTGGAGTTACCTCCCGGGTTCAAGCAATTCTCCTGCCTCAGCCTCCCGAGTAGCTGGGATGACAGGCATGCGCTACCATGCCCAGCTAATTTTGTAATTTTAGTAGAGATGGGGTTTCTCTACGTTGGTCAGGCTCGTCTCGAACTCCTGACCTCAGGTGATTTGCCTGCCTTGGCCTCCCAGAGTGTTGAGATTACAGGCGTGAGCCATTGCACCCGGCCACGTGTCGCTTTAGAAAAGTCTATCCGCACACAGAGGAACGGCCTAGAGGAATCAGTGACGTGGTCAGTTATTAGAGAACAGTTATCTCTGGGTGGAAAGATTATGCAGGATTTTAATAACCTTTCAGCCTCATTTTCAGTGTATTCATATACGAATCAAACAAAAATATGAATTTTTTAAAACCTGTAATTTTGTCAAAGAGGACAAAGCAAGCATCAGAGGCTGGGGTGAGAAATAAAGACCAGAAAGTGGGGGCTGCAGCTGCTGCTGCAGGTTGGGGCTGGGTGGTGTGTGGCAGCAGAGCGGGTATGGAGAAGGGACTGCCTTCCCCGACCCCTATGCTCTGTGCTCCACAGCTTATTGGCTGCCTTTCCCACAGAAAGGTGTTTCTTAAGCTTTCTAGACACCTAACATGCTCAGCAGTCACTGTCCAATAAATTAAGCTGAAATGATTTAATTTACTTATTCATCAACCAACTCAGTAGAGAAGTCTACGAAAAGAATGTCGGAGAAGAAAAACAGACCACCTTCTGCTCAAGACCCACCCCGGTCCCCTTTCCCTCATGGAGGGCTGCCATCTTGGCCACAACCTAGAAGCCCTCACTGATGTTGACCCTGACCCTAATGCTGGCCCTGACCCTGATGCTGATGCTGACCCTGATGCTGATGCTGACCCTGACCCTGATGCTGGCCCTGACCCTGATGCTGATGCTGATGCTGATGCTGACACTGATGCTGACCCTGATGCTGATGCTGACTCTGAC